GCTGAAGTTCTGGAGCTCAGCACTTTGGGTAGGGTTGGAAGGACCAGCACACAGGCCCTCCACGTGCTGCAGAGCTTGGGCACCACATCAGCACCCCACAGTCACAGAAGCCGCTGCCCGTGCACATGGAAGGCAGCACGGTCTCTGGTGCAGGCCCCAGCTAACAGCAACCCAGGCTGGAGGGACTCTTGCTCTCCTGCGTCTCAGGGGGACCTCCCTCCACTCCTGTAAGGAGAAGTAACTTGGGTTGATCACACTCACACATCCTGCAGCTGACACTGGGCAGGGGCCGCCCCCATACCGACAGCTCGAGAGCCTGTCCTTCAAGGCCTGGTGACAAGGCCAAGAGGCTTCAGGGCCTTCTCAGTGGTAGGACAAGAGTGGGAAAGGCAGGGGCTGGCAGGTGGCATGGTGATTAGGGGCACTGGACTCCCACATGGCTGACTGCAGTTCGAGTCCCAGACCTGGCAGTTTGCTTTCTCACTTTCCCTCTCTCACAGTGTCCCTCTCTGGTCAAATTAAATAAATAAATAAATAAACTTCAGTAAGATAATTCTTTAAGAAAACAAAAAAAGAGTGGGAAAGGCATAGTCAGGGAGAGCCAGAGCCAGGGCACATCTGCAGACCTCAGACACCGGTCTGGCCCATGAGGAGGACTGGGAGAGCCAGGGAAGGTGTCTGTGCTGACAGGTGGAGTTTGGGATGCTGCAGGCCTGAGGCTGGGTGAGGCCAGCCCAGAGAGGAGGTCAGAGGGTGACGGGTTAAAGCAATGGGTCACGTCCCGCCACGCCTTTACGCACGGATGAGGTCTCCATCGCCGACCTGCAGCCGAGAACTGCTGTGCTTTTCCAGGTCCTGCAGCACCGACTGCTCGAACGCCAGGGCAGCTACGCGGCTAAAGAAGGCCTTCACGTTCTCCCCTGTGGGCCCCGGAGACAGCTGTGACCTGCCTGCCTCTGTCCTTGCCTGGGATGCATTTGGGTGCAGGAGCCAGGGCAGCCCACCCTCAGGCTGCACGGCCCTTCCAGAGCACCCCTGGCACTAACAGCAACCACAGAAAGGTGCACCCCACCCCCCGCCACAGGATTCATGGGCCCGATCCCCAAAGGTTTCCCCTCTCTCCTCTCAACAGCCTGTGTTTTCCAAGTCTGCTCTTAGCCTCTCTGCATTTCCTATTTTTTTCCTCACTTTTTAGATTGAAAACATATTTTTTAATTTATTTAATTTTTATTTATTCATTCATTTATTAATTTGACCAGAGAGAGACACAGAGAGAAAGAGGGAAAGTGAGAAAGCAAGCCACCAGGTCCGGGATTCGAACCATGGTTGGCCATGTGGGAGTGTCCAACGCCTTAACCACCACGCCACCTGCTGGTCCCAACAAATTTTTTCATTAACATTATGATGAGAATGGAGGGCATCATCCTGCTTCCTAGATAAGGAGGCAGAGGCCTGGGGACACTCAGCATCTTATTCGGGACCCAGTGTGACCAAGGAAGGGCCAGGTGGGAAGTGGGGAATGAGACAAGTGGGAGCAAGCAGTCTTCTGGTGCCACAGTGATACCTGGGAAGGGACAGGAACCCCCCCACACCCCATTACTGGGCCTTTCTGTGTGCCCAGTAGGGCTTCGTACTCAGCATCTGAGGGGTGAGAACAGGACGGCGCAGTGGTTATAGGGGACGGCTGTGTTCTGACCCTGGCCCTCACACCCCCTCCTGTGACCCTGGAGGTGACTCATGGGGACAAACAACCTGCCTCACAGGTGCTTACAGGGGTGGTGTTGGAGGCTTTGCTGGCACAGCAGAGACCAGGCCTCCCAGTCTCCTTCTAGAGCCAGGAGACTCCTCTCAGCCACAGAAGGTATGGGGCACCAACAGGTGCAGAAGGAAAGGCAGGAGTCTTGGCGGCCTGGCGGCACCACCCGCAGCCCACACTCCACTCACCCGTCTTGGCCGACACCGACCAGTACTCGGCCTGCATCTCGTTGGCCAGGTGCACGGCCTCGGCTTCGGCCTGCTCACATGCCGCCGCTGACTGGGAGAAGCAGCCTCGGTAAGCCAGCCTCCCTGCCTCCCTGCAGGGAGGCCCTGGCGTATGCCTTGGCCCCATTCCCACGGTGCCACCCCCCCCCAGCCCCACCCTTGTTCCCCATCTCACCCTGGGCAGGCGAGGGGGCCCAGCATTGCGGACGCGGGCCACCCCGGGG